CCCCCCTCTCTATAACCCCTCTCGCGCTCTCTCTCTCTTTTCATTCTCGCCTCGCGGCCGCTATATTTATCGCGAGTCAAGTCGCCGCGAGCACGCGCGAGTCCGATCGATTCGGCGTAATCTGCCAGGCTTGCACATCGGGCGGCAATCGGCTTCTTCGATTCCGCAATACCTCGCGTCGCCCTCCATTAGACTTGTTATTATCGGCGGCGCTCGTCACTGGAGCGCGAGTAAAATGATTAGGAGGAATTATTGGGCCGCTGTGCCCGCTCTCGGCTCTCCCCCGCATTGATCGAGTCGAAAAAGCAGAGGCGGCAACGGCGGCGACGGCGGCAGCAGCGGCGGCTTCGTGTAAGCTTTGTGCTCAAAGGCAGGAGGGGCGAGAGAACTCGTAATTAACGAAAAATATTTCGGATCAGCGAGAAATAATTCAGCGGGCGCCGTTTCCATTATAAAGGCAATAACCTGGCTGGCGCCTAGCTGTCTCTTTCTTCCACCCTCGGCCGCTTACGAGTGCGGCGGCTCTCGCTCTTGTAATCTGCGACGTGTATTATTATACGAGTGAGCGCTCTCTCTCTCTCTCTCTCTCTCTCTCTCTGTCTCTCGCGTTGCGGCAAAAGAAACAACGCGCAGAGCCCTTCTCGCGCGTAATAAGCATAAATCCTCGGACGGCGAGCTTATCTGCGAGTCGGCCAGCAGAAGAGCGCTCGAATAAAATATCATACATTAATGCGCTGCTTGCACCCCTTTCTGGCGTCGTACAGGGGCGCGCGTGCCGGCCCGGCGCCTGCTTCAACGCCGAGCGATCGCTGCATTGTTGCAGGCTTACCTGGCGCCCGACTACAAGTGCTTCAGCTGCCGATCGAAGCGCGCCGATCTATTGTGGCCCTTCAGCCACGAGCCGAGAAAGCAAACAAACGCGAACCGCCGCGACGACTCGTTTGAAGCGGAGCGCGCCTTTTCTTTCTCCGCGCTCCTCTCGCTGTTTCGCCGTTTCACCTCAATAGCCTTGTAGCTCGGTCTCCTTCCCCGGCGCCTCGGCACTTGGAGGGCCTCCAGGAATTTCCGACTTGTCGCAGTGAAAGCAAACCTTTTTTCTCCCTCGGCGCCTCGCGGCCAGAAGGAAACCCTCGATGTAGGTTACCCAACGCGTGCGCTCGCGCGCCGCCCGCCACCTGCGCACCTGCACTCGGCTGTGGATGTTCGTCCGTCGATAGCCCGGCCGCACATTCAGCCTCGCATGCCACGCTCCCGCAGACTCGCGGCCTGCGTGGCTTTGGAATAAGAAAGAGCGAGCGCGTCGGGGCGGCGGGGGCCGTGGCAGAGACCTGAGGGGGCTCGAGGGTTGAGCACGAAAAGGGTTGCGCTCGAAGCCCGATCAGTCATTAGACAAGTGGGTATTCGCATATATCGGGAATTGTAAAATCGATAGGGGTGTCCGTTGGCTCCTGTAAGGAAGTGCCGAGGGGTGGGGATGCGATGGAGCGGAGGGCATCACGCCACCTCCTCGCGGCGGCACAGTAGCAACAGCCGCGCCGCGCATCACCGCGCGGAACCCCTTTCTCCGTGTGTATATGTTTCCCCGTCGACCCCCTTTGTTGCTTCGACCAGCCACCCAGCCCCACCCCCCGCACCGCCACCCAAGCATCGGGCCAGCCGTCAAACCACCCGAGCGCTTTTCTCTCTAGTCTCTCTCTCTCTCTCTCTCTCTCTCTCTTTCGCTCCTTTCGCGTCCGTAGGCATCCTCATGGCGCTGGCGGCGGCGGCGGCGGCGGCGGCGGCGGCAGCGGCAGCGGCAACGGCTCGGCTGAACGTATCCAGTCCTTGCATATTAATCCTACCCATAATTCCCACTTCCAGTTTGGGCAACCCTTCGCTCAGCGGAATATAAGGGGGCGAGTGGCCGAGCTATCGATTGAGCTTTCTTTCGCTTTTGGAGCCGCTGCTGTCGAGCGGCGAGAGGCCGGCTTTTAATTGGCATTCTCCTGCGGCGAGAAGAGAAGAGCAGAGGATAGAGTAGAGTCGAGCAGAGAAGAGAAGAGAAGAGAAGAGAAGCGAAGAGAAGCGAAGCGGCGGAGAAGCCGCGCGCCTGCCGGATAGAAAGAGAAAGAGAATGAGAATGAGAAAGAGAAAGAGCAGAGGAGTGGGAAAGGTAGCGAGGCGGTGGGAGGAGAGAACGAGAGAAATGAGATTAAGAGAGAAAAGAGGGTGGCTGGGTGGGCGGCTGATCTGCCTATGGGGACGCAAAGGGTTGCCGCCTCCACTGCCGCCGCCGCCGCTGCCGCCGCCGCCGCCGCCGCCGCCGCCGCCTAGCCATGCCTCATGGTTTCAGGTATCTGGCGATTTTCTTTTTCCCTGAGCGGCCTTTTTTCCGCTAATTCTTCTTTTATCTTCGCTTACATTTTTTTACTTCCATTATCCAGCCCCTCGTAACCCTTATTACACGCCCTTGTCGCTGACCAGTCCGGATAAAGCCGAGAGCACAGCTCGCGCACAGATATGTATTATACGAGCCGCACACTTTATCTCTGGCCGCTTCTTTTTACTCGCTTTCGGCCGAATGTCGTTGCACGCGCTTTGTGCGCGCCTGCCTTTGAGGGCTGGCGAGCTGACTTGCCGAGCGCTTCGGAATTCGGGCGTTTGGCGAGCTCGCGACTGCCGATGCGCGTCGCGCCTTTGACGGCCGAGAGGCAGAAGCCCAGACCGAGGCCCGTCGCTAAACGAGCAACCGATTGCGAAGAGTGCCGGCGGCGGCGCGATCGAGGATCGAGGCCGGGGGACCGCGGGACCCAGAGGCGAGATCCTAACGTGCGTGTCCGAGGCGAACGGCTGGAAAAAGAGAGGGAGAGGGTTTTGCATATGCCGCTACCGCTGGTGTTGCTGTGCGCGGCCGAAGATTGATTATATGCCGCGGGAGAAAATTTGATCAATAGCCCGGCCAAACAAAGGCCGCTCCTCGAGCGAGCGGACTTTGGTGCGCTGCTCCGCGGCATTAGCGCAAAATCAGGCCTGAGCGGCGCCGGATCGGAGCGTCTTTTCGCCGCCTCTCACACGCGACTGCCTATTTTTCAGCGAGCCGGGCCTCGCGGAACAATGGGCTAGCGCGCGGCCCGCCGAAATCTACGTCGCTCAGCGGACGCGATCAATCGCGACTTCCGCTTCTCGGTCAGCTCGCACTCGCTTTGTTTGCGCGAATCGATTGTCCGCGAGCTTTTTCACCCTCGCAACTCGCACAATTACCATTCAATTCGGCGCGGCCTCGCTGGCTTGGCCGGCAGCTCCTCTGTGTTGTCGCTGTTGCCGCTGCTTTTTTCTCTTGTTCGGTTTCGCGCGTGCCCGTCTTCGCGCGCCCGCTCCCCTAATCGAATTAACATCGCGCTCAGAAAAAATGAATGTTTCTCAGCCAAACACTCGCAGCCTCGCATTGAGCGCGTAGCTGCGCATTCCTCGGGGCTTTGTCCCCGGCCAGCCGGCACAATGGTCCGCGTCCACTAATGACGAATAATTCAAAGTGTGCTGCCGCTACTTCTCGGCTCGGCCGGCCTTAGATTCGATGAATGCCGTGGCAGCACCCGAACTTGAAAGGCTTTGTGCGTTTGCGCTGGAAGCAGCCAGCCGATGAACGCTGATAGCACTCGAGTGCGTCCCGCCGGCCGAAGCGCGCACAAAGTGGTCGCGCGTCGCGACAATTCAGCGGCCGGCCTTTGTCCCGCGTCAAGGATATTCTCATCGCGCTCGTTGCGTCGATCCGAGAAAAATTGGCAGCGAGCGAGCGCAGGTGATCGACAACTTCGGCGGCGGCGGCGGCGGCGGCGGCGGCGGCGCTATCGACCGAGACGGAGAGCGTTCGCCTCGGCTGTCCTCTGCTCGTCGCCGTTGCCGGGGGCTCGGGGGCTCGGGGGATCGGGGGATCGGGGATCCCTTAACGATACTCAGTAGTTGCGCCGGCGTCGTCGCCGCCGCCGTCGCTCGGCCGCTTAGCGACACTAATGGCGGACGCGATTACGGGCGATAGTCGGGCAACTTTGGAAAGTCGAGCTGCGGCTATCAAGCCCTCGCCACTCCGGTTGTCTGCGGCTCGTCGAGGCGCTTCGATTACGGCGCCGGCCGCGGCAAGAAGGCGCGAGCCAGCCAGTCGGAAGCGAGCGCGCGCAAAAACAGCGGATCGCACGTGCCGACACGGAGCGTCGTAATTGCCGGCGCATTGATTGACCGGCCGACGCGTGTCGACACCTGCTCGCGTGCGCCAAATTAAAAATAAAGCGCCGAGAGGGCACGCAAAAAGCCGGGCTCGGCGATTAACCCGTTTGCTCGGACGCGTCGGGGGAAGAGCCGCTTTGGCCGAAAAAAGGCCAACGGGCAGCCGGCGTGCTCGGAAAATCGGCCCTCGGCTGCACATGCAGGCGGCGCGCCCCCGCGTGCGCGCACCGCCGACGAAACGCCGAGGAGAACGCGGGAGCGCGCGGAAAGGAAAGGGAGAGCGCGAAGTACACGTGGATGGCTCTCCAGTGGTCGATTCCGACTGATCACGCGGAGCGCGAGGCGCGCTCGCGGCCTACGCCGTAGCAGCGCTATAACCGGCGCGGGCGCTTATAGAACGGCGCTCGGCCGGGCGCGCGCGATAGTCGAGACGGGGCCGGGGTATCGACAGCAGTCGGCGATCCGATCGAGCGCGGAAAGTGGAAGAACGCCCGGCGCGCCAAATGAGCCGTCGATACGGCGCGTTAAGAGTCGCGTCGGGGCGGGGGCACGCGCGATAGTCGAGACGGGGCCGGGGTATCGACAGCAGTCGGCGATCCGATCGAGCGCGGAAAGTGGAAGAACGCCCGGCGCGCCAAATGAGCCGTCGATACGGCGCGTTAAGAGTCGCGTCGGGGCGGGGGCACGCGCGCGGATGCGTCGGGCCGATCGATCGGCGGGGCCGAGGTGGCGCGGGCCACCTCGGCCCGAGGCCGCCAGAGAGACTGACCGGCGGCGTTGCGCCGCGCTTGTGTCCGCAGATCGGCCAGCTGCGCGAGGAGGTGACGAGGCTGCAGCTGAGCCTGCAGCGGCTGCAGGAGACGAGCGCGCAGGCGAGCGCGCGGCTGGAGGAGGAGCTGGAGGCGCGCCGGCAGCAGGTCGGCCGGCTGGAGGCCAAGCTCGAGCGCCAGAAGGACTACGACGAGCTGAGGCGCGAGGTCAGCGTGCTGCGCTCGGTCGACCTGTCGCAGATCCCGACCGGCGAGCCCGGCAAGAGCCTCGAGCAGGTGCTCCTCGAGCGCTCCAAGGCGCTGCAGCAGGCCGAGAGCCTGAAGCCGCCCAGCACGCCCGATGCCCTCGGTAAGTTGCGCCCACTGCACTCCGCGACACACACTCGTGCTCGTGCTCGCGCTCGCGGCCGAGCCTGCGCCGAGGCGCAGCTAGCGCTTGTCGCGTCACGTATCGCAGACGACCATTGTGGAAGCGAGTAAGAAAGCTTTGCTAATGCTCCTGCGCTGCTCTCGTATGTCGCATACAGGCGTGTGCAGCTACATGCTCGTATTCGGCTCATTGCCGTGTCGGTCCTGACTCTCTCCGAGGCTCCGAACTTTACAGTCCAGACGTCCAGTCTCGACACCGATTATTACAATTATATTATTTTGCCATTATGACTTACTGCTGCTGCTTCGCTCTTTTCTTTTGTATTCCTCTACTCAATCTGCCTATGCGAGCTTTCATCGAAGAGACCAGTGTGACAGCCCCGCTTGCGGTTCCTCTCTCTCTCTCTCTCTCTCTCTCTCTCTCTCTCTCTCTCTCTCTCTCTCTCTCTCCTCTCTCTCTCTCTCTCTCTCTCTCTCTCTCTCTCTCTCGCTCCTTCTCCCTCCAACCCGCTTACTCGCGCGGCATCTCTCTTTTCTGTTAACGTCATGTATACTTTCGTATTAATCCTCTTTTTAACATTTGATAATCTTCTCGTTCACTCATTATTCCCTATTCTCTCTTCCTCGCAGCGGTCTCTTCCGCTGGCTTAATCGCAAAAATTTTCTTTGCTTCTCCTCTTTCTCTCTTTCATCTGTCTGTCCATCTGCCTGTCTGCGCGCCTTGCTTAGGCTGCACTTTTTCTCTCTCGTATATTAGCTCCTCGGAAAGCTCTTTCGCCCTCCCACTCCCTTTTCCACTCCTCCCCATTCTCTCTCTCTCTCTCTCTCTCTCATGCGCGAGCTCTCCTTTTTTCATTTGCTTTTCGCGCATTTTTTTCGACATTTTTACCGCCCACCTATGAGCCTACGCAACCAAACACGCGCTCGACCCCCACCCCCCTCTCGTTTCTCTCTTTCTCACTCTATATCTGTCTCTTTCTCTTTCACTTTCCAAATCTTTCCAGGACGCTTCCCTCCGTTTATGAAAGCCCCAAAACCTGCCAACCGCCCGGGCGGCGAATCCGAATCACCAGCAATACCGAGCTCGTCCCGCGCACATAAGGCCAACATTCGAGCACGCAAATTTGTGGACGATATTCGCAATATTTGCCCCGAGTAGCGGGCTATTGTTCGGGCGTAGCCAGTCTATTATGAATCGATCGCAGAACAGCCACAGCCAGAGCGAGCAAGAGAGAGAGAGAGAGAGAGAGACCGAGACAGACAGACAGACAGAGCGGAACAAGTAGTTGCAGGGGAGATACTGCAACGTCACCAGCCCGTTGCCTGAATCCAAGCTACTAAGGACTCTGTCTATCTCTCTCTCTCTCTCTCTCTCTCTCTGTCTCTCTGTTTCTCTGTCTCTTGTGCGCTCCAGCTTCGCGATTTGTCCCATCCTCGCTTCCTCTTTTGGCGAGTGCGCGTGTCCCTCGCGAGTCTGGCCCTGCCGAATTCGATGTCTCCTCCTCTCCTCGCACACCCCAGCTCCGCACACAGACTTTCCCAAAGCCAAATCTCCAAATGTCAAGAGCTCCTCCCCATCCCCCTCAACTGTTATTGTTCAAGTTTTACTCCCGCGAGTTTATGTGATTTGCTCTCCAGAATAAAAACTTTTACTTTTATTGTGTATACGCCACTTGCGAGGGACTGATTCAGTAGCGACACCGCAATTACCAAATTGATTGTCATACACAAAGACTCGCTTCACGTTATTTGCTTTTATTGCCACGTACATCATCTATTCCTCATTTTTTCCCATTTTTTCGTTTTTTTTCGTTTTTTTTCGTTGTTTTCGTTGTATTCGTTGTTTTCGTTTTCCTGGGTACCTTCGTTTTCGTTTTTCTTTCGTCGATGTTCCCGCTTCCTTTCGTTCGAATCGACCGATCGAAGCTACAATCGCTCGATGGATGCATCGAAAGAGAGTGTCGGGCGGGTAGTAGCGAAGGTCAGCGCGGCAACACGGGAGTAGAAAAGCGCCGGGCTCCGAGGAAAGATGAGACGCGCAGTGACGGGCTTCTGTTCTTGGGCTTGCAGGTGGACTATCGTCGCCCCTGCAACGAGCCGCGACGGCCTCGCCGCACGGCGCGGTGATCGCGCCTCCATCGTCGTCCCTATCCATGTCCATGTCCTCGCAGTCCGCGCTACCGAGCCGCTCCACCCCCACGCCCTCGTTACAGGCCTCGTCGGGCGGGCCGGGCGTCGCCCCCGTCGGCTCGGTACCGAGCTCGCTCCTATTCCCACCGGGCCTCCAAAACGTCGAGACCTTCGGCTCGTTCCTCGGCGAGGAGATCGTGGCCAACTGGAGGCGCTCCCTGGAGAGATCGATCATGAGTCAGCAGCAGCAGCAGCAGCAGCAACAGCAGCAGCAGCAGCAGCATCAGCATCAGCAACAGCAACAGCAACAGCAAGCGCCGAGCTCGCAAGCGCCCGCGGCCGGACTGCTGCCGCCGCTGGTCGGTCAGGCCAACCACGCGCTCAACCGTCTGCCCTCGCCGACAGATCAGCCGGGCACGCCCGCCAACTCGGAGCCCGCGGAGAAGGCGACCACGCCGCTGAGCGGCCAGGAGACGCCGGCGCCGGCCACCCCCCTCGTCCACGGCCACGCTCACCTCGCCGCCGCTGCTGCAGCCCGGCGACGCGGTCGCCGTGGCGATGAACGGGCCGCTCGGCCCGGCCAAGAGCCCCGCCGAGGAGGCGGTCGTCTGCCACAACAACAACAACAGTCAGCACCTGGCCAACAACAATATCGGCGCCGGCCTCAGCATGCTCGACAGCCTCAAGAGCCCCTTCCGCTTCGACGAGCGCACGCACCCGTTCAGATTCGGCGACGAGTTCGGCGCGGCCGGCATGGTCGGACGTCTCGGCGAGTCCCTCATACCCAAGGGCGACCCCATGGAGGCGCGCCTGCAGGAGATGCTGCGCTATAACATGGACAAGTACGCCTCGCAGAACCTCGACACGCTGCACATCGCGCGCCGCGTGCGCGAGCTGCTCTCCGTGCACAACATCGGCCAGCGGCTCTTCGCCAAGTACGTGCTCGGCCTGTCGCAGGGCACCGTCAGCGAGCTGCTCAGCAAGCCCAAGCCCTGGGACAAGCTCACCGAGAAGGGCCGGGATAGCTATCGAAAAATGCACAGCTGGGCTTGCGACGACAACGCGGTCCTGCTGCTCAAATCCCTCATACCCAAGAAAGGTGAGTTCATTCGCAGCTCTCTCACTCTCTCTGTCTGTCTGTCTGTCTGTCTGTCTGTCTGTCTGTCTCTCTCTCTCTCTCTCTGCCTCTCTCTCTCTCTCTCTCTCTCTCTCTCTGTCTCTATCTGTCTCTCTCTCTCTCTTTCTCGCTCTCGACTCGAACGGCTCCGTCTCTCTGTGTCTCTGTGTCTGTCTCAGTGTCTCTACTCGGTCTGTGTCGATTGTCTCTTTGTTCTCCACCCCCATCGACGACCTCCGATGTCGATCACCGACCCACCCATGCCCACACACCACACTCGCCGCGTAGCATCGATGCCAACTCTCTCCTAAGACTATCGCCTCAGCACTGCCAGCGACTACTTGTATACTAACCAAACTGCCGAGCTCTTAATTAACCGCAAACACATTGGCTTTTTTTGGTCGAAAGTTGAACTGCTAAGAACCGACGACCATGAGTGTCCGTCGGTGTCTCTCTGTCTCTGTCTCTCTGTCTCCCTGCCTGAGCGAGGAGTGTTAGCTGAAAAGGAGACGCGTGTGTCTCGTGTGAAAAAAGCGAGAAAGCAAACAATTGTTCAAGGCTGAAAATTGGGTCAGGCTTGCAATCGATAACCGGGGGCAGAAGCGGCGCGCGTCATATGGAAAGCAATGAAACTCGAGAAACGCAGGTTCGAAAAGCCACAGCTAGCTCAATCCAATCAGCAGCTATCGGGCAGCTGTCTACCCATTGATTGCCCCGCGGCGCATTTGTCAGGCATATAGTTTAGTCTAATAGCTCCTGGGAAATAGTCGTCGCGGCGGCAAAAGCAGCGAAAGCGGCAATAGCGGCACTAGCACCGATGGCTGGGGGAGTTTATTATCGCAGAAGGGTGAATCTCTCGCGAGGCGACGCGATGCCGAAGAGCGTCAGGCCGGATTCCTTGGAGATTGCTGTGCTCTCGCTCGCTCCGTCCTGGCGCAAGGACAAAGAGCCGTCCCTAGTCTCTCCGTAATAGTCATGCGCTACGAGTAATTTACACTTTTGCCTGATTGCGCGCGCGTCGCGGGACGATTGCCCTGCCGCAGCCGGATGTGCCGCGCGCCGACGACTCGGTTCCGTCTTCGCCCCGTTTGTCGCGCGCGAGCGCACGAGCGCGATCCAACTTTTTGGCAACTCGCGAGAGAGAGAGAGAGAGAGAGAGAGAGAGAGAGAGAGAGAGAGAGAGAGCGAGGCCGCGGGCGCGCGATGGAGACGGCGGAGGCGGACCTCTATTCGGCACAAGCCTCGAAACAATTTGCGTAACGACGCCTGGCGCCGCTCATCGATGTGTGAGAGGCGTAAACGCTGCGAGCAAAGTTTGAATAGTCGGAGATTGAAAATCGTTAGAGCTAACGAGGCTCGCATGCGTCGAAATCCGAGCGGAGAATCACGTAGTATTGTGCGGGGCGTACGCGCCGGATCGAGTACACGTACGCGCGGATAGCGGATAGCGGGTAGCGGGCGAAGCTCGACCGAGGAGGGCGGCCGGGAAGGAAGACCTTCGCGGCGCGGAACGAACGGCGCTGCCCAATCGACGACTCGGCCTCGGCGCGAGCCCCGATCGGAGCGTCGAGGAGGAATATCGAGGCGGCTGGTTTTTGCCGGGAGCGCGCGACGCGCCAGTCGGCGGCCGATCGCCTTCGTTGCGCGCGCTCCGCGACAAGAGAGGTGAGCGCGCGTCCGCGCGTCAATTACCGCTGGCTGCCGGCTGCTAGCGGAGCGCGAACGAGTTTGGTCTGGCGTTCATTAGCCGCGCCAAGCAGCCAGATATATATCTCGCGCTCGCGCGCAAGCATCTGGCTGCGGCACATCGGCAACAATCGCGATCGCATTCCCACGGAATTATGGCGCGCGCGCGCGTTTTGTAACGCCGAAGGAACGAGCCGCCTACTACGCGAGCGCGACGACGGCGGCGACCATTTTACGACAATGTAATTGCGAGCCGCGAAACGCGCTTTCCGCCGCGGTTTTCTCGCACGCCGCCGCGCGTCGCCGCCAAAAAATGCAGCCGACGCCATTGTTTCGCCGGCCGATCGGACCGCCGATTACCTCTTTCTTTCTTTCTTTCCGCCTGTCGCTAGCGGCTCGTTACCCGGCTCGCAACAGGTTTCAAATTTTATTTCTCGCGCTCGAAATTTCGAAAGGAGACTGCCTCGCTCGAGCGGTTCGGCTGACAATGGCCGCGCAAGCGCGAGCCGCGCGAGTTGCGCGAGCGCCGCTCTCACGGGAAAAAATCTATCGGGCCGCGGCGCGCATTCTTTACGCGACTCATCATTGTTGAGCGCACGCGTTGCAATCATCGCGTAATGATCGCCGTGCGCTGCGTGCGCGCGGCGCTTTCGCGGGCTGAAATTCCCGATTCCCGGCGATTTTCGTTGAGCAAAGCGCCCAGCGAACCGTGACTCTCGCGAGCTCGCGCAAATAATTGCGCTATATATTAATAAAAGTTTCGTCATCCTGCGGAAACGAAAATCGGGGCCCTGAATCATCGGAGCGGCCGCGATCAGCCGAGCGTGATCCTCGGCGCCGCGCCGCCCGTCGCGCAAGGCAAATAAATCCCCGGCGGCTCGGGCGCAAGTGCACCTTTCTCCGAGCGGCGCGCCGTCGCAACGCCAGAAACGCGCGAGAACGGCGACCATCCACTTCGATTGCGTTTCAATAATGCTCTTCTCCAGACGTTTCGTGGAGCTGCTCGAATATTCAACGTGTGAAAAATTCAAACGCGCCGCTCGCAATTCCAATGACGTTAAACTTATACCCCGATCAACATTGATAAGAACTCGTCGGTGAAATTCCGCGCGCAGCACTTTATCAATAAATCAGCCGGCGTATGAATAGCAATTTCGGGATCAGTCGCCGGCGAAAATAGCACGATACACGGCGCGATGCACGAGGCGCCGCGAGACGAGAAAGTTGCCGCGCGCAGCTAACAGCGACGCGACGGGGGAAGGCGTCGATGCCGTCCGATTCGCAATTGTGCGGCGCGGACGCGCCGACGTGCATCGCCCCGACGAGCTGGCAGCGTTTCAAGCGTCGCGACAATGCCATCGCGCGGGCCACGCTCCGAGCGGACGCGGCCGAGCGCTCGCGCTTCTGGCGGCGGTTCTGGTCCGATATCGGACGTCCGCGTATCCGCCAAATCAGCCGGCCGCTTTCGGTTCGATTTCGGCCGCGCGCGCCTGACCGCGGTCCGCCGATCGACGGCCGATCGGTCCGTTAGCCGCGAGGCTCGGGCGCGACCGCCGGAAAGGGGGACACTCCTGCATTCGCGGTGCGCGGGCCCGTCCAAGTGGCGAGGCTAGCGTAGCATTAAGAAAACGAAACAGTCAATTTGAGAACGCACCACAAGTTGTGCCTCACCCGTAGAGTATGTTTCAGGCAAGGAGCCGGGAATGCCTGCGTTCGCGCGGGGTCCGCAGGAAAGTAGCGCGCCCGGGGCCATGAACAGCAGCAGCAACAGCAGCGCCAACCCCGGCGCCAACCAAGAGTCGAACGAGGCCCACATGCTCGGCGACTGCGCCAGGCAGCAGCTCGAGGGCCTCGAGGGCTCGAACGACGCCGACAGCAAGAGCCCCAGTCGGCTGAACTGCCCGAGCCCCTTCGGCGGCAAGGACAGCCAGAACCGCCGCCTGAAGAAATACGAGAACGACGACATTCCCCAGGAGAAGGTGGCCAAGATCTACCAGGAGGAGCTGGCCAAGATCATGGGCCGGCGGAACGACGAGCTGCGCGGGCCCCGCGACTTTGCCGCCAGGTGAGCCCTCCGCCCAGCCCGACTCCGTCGCTCGGCGTCATCGGTCAATTATTCAGCCGCGTGAATTAATCATCGGATGACTCGGCGCCGATAACGATTTTCCGCGGGCGCGCGCGCTATTCGCGGCGGGGCCGGCGCCGCGGCCGGCAGAGGCAACCACAGTGGACGAGGACAGCTCGAAATCTGGATTGATCGTAGCGCGATGTTCCCGCACTTTTTCAGCGGGCAGAACCTGCAGGGCATCGAGCGCACGCAGGACGAGATCCGGCTGGCCCTGGACGCCTACCACCGCGAGCTGCAGAAGCTGAACGTGGGCCAGGGCCTGCCCTACCCGCCGCAGATCTCGGGCCTGCTGGCGCTGCAGCAGCACGCCATCCAGCAGCACCACCTGGTGACCAACGGCGGGGCCGCGGCGGCGGGCGGGGCCGCGGGCGGGGCCGGGTCCGCGGCCGCCGCAGCCGCCGCCGCCGCGGCCGCGGCCGCCGCCGCCGCCGCCGCGCAGGACCTTAGCCTCGGCAACATCCTGCGCAGCAAGATGATCAACGGCGTGTCGGAGGAGGACAAGGAGAAGATGGAGGAGGCGATGCGCCACGCGGGCAGCGCCTTCTCGCTGGTGAAGCCCAAGCTGGAGCCGGCGCAGCCGGGCAGCCAGTCGACGCCCGGCGGCTCCAGCGCCAGCTCGCCCCTCGGCAACTCCATCCTGCCGCCGGCGATGACGCCCAGCGAGGAGTTCGCCGGGGCCGCGGCGGCCAGTCCGCTGCAGCGCATGGCCTCCATCACCAACAGCCTGATCAGCCAGCCGCCCGCGCCCACCCACCACTCGGGCAGCCAGCGCCCGCTCAAGGCCGTGCTGCCGCCCATCACGCAGCAGCAGTTCGACATCTACAACAACCTCAACACCGAGGACATCGTCAAGAGGGTAAGCGCTATTGTATGTCGCCGTCGAGACCACTCGCCTTCCCGCTAGGCCCAAGCAATGCATCGGCCCTGCTGGCGTGTCGCAGGTCAAGGAGCAGCTCTCGCAGTACTCCATCTCGCAGCGCCTCTTCGGCGAGTCGGTGCTGGGCCTGTCGCAGGGCTCGGTGTCCGACTTGCTGGCCAGGCCGAAGCCCTGGCACATGCTCACGCAGAAGGGCCGCGAGCCGTTCATCCGCATGAAGATGTTCCTCGAGGACGACAACGCGGTGCACAAGCTGGTCGCCAGTCAGTACAAAATTGCCCCGGAAAAGCTAATGAGGACCGGCGGCTATGGCGGCCTGCCTCGTAAGTTTAACTCAGGTCAATATAGATGTTTTGTTACTTTATTTACCGAAGCCGTGGCTCGCCAGCTCCGCGCGGGCGCCGCGCGCGAGCTTCCGAGCCACGACTGGTGCCCCGTCTCCCCGGCGAGATCGGCGAGCGTTCAACGCGCTTCTTCGGGATTGCAGCGTGCGGGACGCCGATGAAGCCGATGCCGCCGACGAAGCTCGTTCAGGAGCAGCTTCAGAACGCGGCGAAGGCGCAGGCGGCCGCGCAGGCAGCCGCGCAGGCGGCCGCGGCCGCGGCGGCGGCGGCGCAACACCAGCAGGACGGCACCCTGCAACTGGGCCCGCCGCAGCAGAGCCCGCAGCATCCGTCTCACGCGCAGCAGACGGCGATGATGCTCACGCCGCCGGGCAATCTGCTGTCGCACGGCCAGCAGCTCAGCATACAGGAGCTCCAGAAGAAGCAGCAGCAGCAGCAACAGCAGCAGCAGCAGCAGCAACAACAGCAGCAGCAGCAGCAGCAGCAGCAGCAGCAGCAGCAACAGCTGAGCGTCCACTCGCCGCACCATCAGATGGCCCCGTCGGCCCTGCGCGTCCTCCACCCGCACATCTCGCCGAGCGTCTACGAGATGGCCGCGCTCACGCAGGACCTCGACACGCAGACCATCACGACGAAGATCAAGGAGGCGCTGCTGGCCAACAACATCGGCCAGAAGATCTTCGGCGAGGCGGTGCTGGGGCTGTCGCAGGGCTCGGTGAGCGAGCTGCTGAGCAAGCCCAAGCCCTGGCACATGCTGAGCATCAAGGGCCGCGAGCCGTTCATCCGCATGCAGCTGTGGCTCTCGGACACGCACAACGTGGACAAGCTGCAGGCGCTGAAGAACGAGCGCCGCGAGGCCAACAAGAAGCGGCGCAGCAGCGGCCCCGGCCACGACAACAGCAGCGACACCTCGAGCAACGACACGGCCGAGTTCTACCACGCGGCCTCGCCCGGGCCCGGGCCCACCTCCGCCAAGAAGCAGCGCGTGCTCTTCAGCGAGGAGCAGAAGGAGGCGCTGCGGCTGGCCTTCGCCCTGGACCCCTACCCCAACGTGGCCACCATCGAGTTCCTGGCGAGCGAGCTCGGGCTGTCGTCGCGCACCATCACCAACTGGTTCCACAACCACCGCATGAGACTGAAGCAGCAGCCGCCCCACGGGCAGCCCGAGGCGCAGTCGCCGCGCGAGCCCGGCCAGCCCTTCGACCCCGTGCAGTTCCGGCTGCTGCTCAACCAAAGACTGCTCGACATCCAGAAGGAGCGCCTCGGCCTGGGCGGCGTGCCCCTCGGCTACCCGCCCTACTTCGCGCCCAACCTGGCGGCCCTCGTGGGCAGCGCCCTCAAGGAGCAGTGCTCCGGCCTCGACCTCTCGATGGGCTCGCTGAAGCGCGAGCCCAACCCCGAGTTCGAGGACGACGACGCGGACGGCGAGGCCGAGGGCGAGGCCGAGGGCGAGGCCGACGCCGAGGCCGAGGCCGACGCCGACGACGCGCTGAGCCACCTCGGCAGCGACGACTCGGACGGCTCGGTGGCGAGCCTCAAGCGCGAGCACCCCTGCGCCGCGGAGGCGCCCGCGCTGCCGAGCGCCCAGGCGGCGCAGGCGCGCTCCAGCCGGCGCAAGCCCGCCGCGCCGCAGTGGGTGAACCCCGAGTGGCAGGAGCCCGCGGCCGCGGCGGCCGCCGGCGCCGCCGCCGACGAGGTCATCATCAACGGCGTGTGCGTGATGCAGACCGAGGACTACGGCGTGAAGCGCGAGGCGCCCGAGGAGACGGTGCGCGTCGAGCCGATCCCCGTGCAGGACCGCTTCGAGGAGGACGCGCAGAGCGACGCCTCGTCGGGCCGCGAGCGCGAGAGCCCCTCGCCCGCGGGCTCGGCCAAGTCGGCCGCGCGGCTCAGCCCCCCGGGCGCGGCCGCGGCGCCGGGCGCGGCCTCGCCCGCGGCGCCGGCCCCCGGCGACAGCCCCAAGGACCCCGTGAAGCACGAGCCCGACGAGGCCTGGGACTACTAGGCGGCGCCGGGCCGCGCGTCCGCTTTGTTACGTTGTTTTCTACTCGTCGACGCCAGCGGGGGGAGACGAAGCCAGCAATAGGATTCGGCGCCGCGAGCCGAGTCCTGCCTACGCTTAGGGCATTAGGAGAGCGCGGAGATTGCGGCCGGCCGGGGCGGGACACCACCGAGCACAATCAAAATCGGGCGCCGGGCCCCTCGGCGAGCGCGTGCAGCGGGCCCGGGCCTCGCCGAACGAGCAACGAATCCGCGCGCGCGGCGGCGGCGGCGGCGGCGGCGGCGGCTGCGGCGGCGGCGGCGGCAGCGGCGCTGGGCCGATCGACTCGACGGGTGTCTGCGCCGACTTGTCGCAGGGCGACCGCCGTCGTTTAGTCTTAAGCTATCGAAAGTGGGAGAGTGGCCGCGCGGCCTGGGCGCGGGCCCCGTTTAGCAATGGTGTGAGCCGGCCGCCGACCGCCGGCCGCCGGCGCGACTCTCTCCGCATACTGTGCAATCTCTACGTAACCAATTGTTAGATTGATTTTTTAATGAATGACGAGAGAGAATGAGTTAAAAATCGTGCAGGCGTCCGCCTGTCCAGCGAACCCGACAAATTGCATAATTGTGATTAATGTTATATCGTTTAAATCATCGCTCCCGATTCCCCCATTCCGGCGAAAGCTCCATTTTAGCCGTTAAGCTGTTGACGTTGTTGCATATATTTCAATCTCGAGTTGCGTAAATATGAATAAATATATATGAAACAGTCGTCGATTTCTTTTCAGTTGTTGGAAGATGCTCAAAGGAAGCAAGCAGACCTTCTTTTATTCGCAACTACACTTTCATGTCTAATCTTTTTCCTTTTTGCCTGCCTCCTGTTTGTATTTTGCGAGAGAGATACGACAAACGTGGCCAATCACGTCGATCGCATAGTTACTGTTACCAATGTTAATTATTACTATCATTATCATTATCGCTATCATTATTATTACTGTCATTATATTATTATCATTATTATTACTATTATTATATTATTATCATTATTATTACTATTATTATTATTATTATCAACATTATTATTATTATTACTATTACTATTATTATTACGTTTTGATGATTATCTTTGCCACGATTACTATTTGATGGTAAAACGAATGAAAATTGTGTATAGTAATGATTAATATTTTATTAAATAAATTTTAGTTGTGATTAGCAAAAAGGCCTAGCCGAAACAAGCAAGTCGAACGTCGACGCAGCGTTCCGTTTTAATTTTTATTATATAAATATAAATATTTTTCGTTTCTTTCTTTTGTATTGCCCAATGAGGAGGATGTGCGAATGCAAGCGTAGTCGATACGGAGAACATGCAAATATACTGCAAGCCCGAGCAATCGAAATGTTGTATAGAGTAAAATGATATTGTAGCAAGTGGAAAAGAAAATTTTTGAATTTTCATTATTCATTGTCATTCGAGCATATTATAATTATATGACGCATTATAAATTATTATTAATTATCATTATCGTAAGATGAATAAGCTAAGCACACAAAATATAAACGAAACGGCTTCTGAAGCCGATGTGATAGAGCTTACGCGCTACGAGAAGCAAAAACAAGCATCCGTGTAATGATCGTCAGCTGTATCACGTTTTCAAGTTTACGAGGGCGCATCTAGCCGATTTGCTGGCAGTGTATAGTGGAGCGATGATGATCAAGATATCTCGAAACGCGCAAGCTGTTTTCCCTGCGAAAACGTCTATATTGTAAATAACTTTGTACATATAGCTGATTATGAGAATACAGACACAAATACACAATAACTGAACTTGTATAAATATTACTCTCTCTCTCTCTCTTTCTCTCTCTCTCTCTCTCTCTCTCTCTTTCTTATTGCAGTTAAATCCGTAATATCGTATATGTGCGCACGATTAATAACAAGCAACCTGACAGGTATTTCGTGGAACCTCTTTGTCAAAACAATTCAAAATTGAATCCTCTTACGTATTGCGGTGAATGATGTCCGATGTCTGGCCGTACGATACCGGGATCGAATGAATGGGCTCGCGAAAATATGTGTGGCGTGGCTGATAGGCATGCGACTAAATCGTTAACTTCGAGACACTATCGATCGAATTAGCAACTATCTGATTCAACGAACTTTTATCTCCAATCAATATTTCTAGTCCGCAGTCAAAAAGTTCATGTAGGCGCAACGGAGCGATGCTTATTCAATATTCTTCTTTTCGTACAAGTCAGATTTGGACCAATTACAAATCGAAACTCACTATAGCTACTTTCTCGATCTCCGAGTTTACTTTCGATTCACATTTCAAAAGAATTCCGTCGAAAACGCAGACTGGCATAGCTGTCGATAGAGAGCCTTGACTGATAATTAGCTCCGGAAGTGTTTGATTAGAAGCGGACGATGGCCTATCATTTCACACTCATTCAATCAGTATAACTACGTTCTTTGTAGATATCGCAGTAGTCGAATACTAATAGCCAATAGCTTCAAACGTTTGAGGCGACAAACGAAGAGAAAACTACTGGAGAACAATGAAGATTTTTCATGATAATGATTTGTAATATAAAAGAAAATGAATGATTTGTTGAGAGTAAATGCTGCGAAATTTGCGATGCGCAATAGTCAAACATTCGTATCATAATACAAAAAAAAATAATGTAACGCTCGTCAGCGATTCGCTGCAGTTGACGAGAGCGGCATGAAATAATCATATCGTAAAATTAACAAATATTTTACAGTATAAAAAATGTAGATAGAATATTTGAAAAGATATGATTTATCAAAATCCCTTATTTTCCGGCCTTTGTGTAATTCATTTCTCTCTTTCCAAGATCGACGATCAAGCTATCAGCGAAAAAGCAAACTAAACGTACAGATGCAGATATGTGACGGAAAGGCATTGCCAAAGTATCAAAGTTGCTTTGCTTATGAACTCGTCGTTGTCTTTTCAATTAAGACTTACCAAACGAAATACGAAAGCGATTTACCCGCAGTAACACATAGTTCAAGGATTTGTTTTTTCATTTGAAAAACTGTATGATATAGCTTAAAAATATCCTGTACATTGCATAAATCACTACCGCACTATTGTTTAAAATTGTACGTTTATGATTATTATATGAAGATTAAAAGAAAAATAAATAAGGTAAAACAAAATATTAAAACATCTGAGAAATTTATTGTCTCCAGCTTTATTAAACAAATGAAAACTTTCAATTTTCAAAACTGAAATTTCTTTTCTTCTCTGCAAATTAAAATTAATCGTGAAGAGAGATTTAATTACATTTTCACTTTTATCTGTAGTTAAGACTTAGAAAGTCACGTATCAGATCCATTCATTGTATATACATATACATACTCACAAATATAAGATTATATTATTCATATCATTGTCTCATTGAAAGTTTCTAAATTAAAAAAAAAGTGTATTACAAAATTATGAAACTTTTTTATTCCAAAACCCTATGACCTGTTAACTATAATTTCAAGAGTTCGTTAGATCTTTAATTTGAAAAATAAAGTATTTCTAAAGCAATTATGACGTTTTTCGTTTTTATGATTAATACTATAAAATTTATCAAAATTATTTCAACTAGTAGAAAAAACTAATAAAAAACGATAAATTTCAAATTTGTATCGGACACGAAACATTATTCAGGGTATGTATATGCCTGTTCTACATACACTAGTCGATAATGAAATGAATTTGATGATTGCATTAGCAAATACTCTGCCCTAATAGTTTTATAATTAATTCGCGGTCATTCAACATTTGAATTGTCTTTGACAACTGAGCTTCGACGATACCAAACGAGAACAGGTCAAGGGCTTATTTTGGCATGTTGTGCCCTCGCAACTTGCCCAAAAAATTCATTTGATAATATTGATACTCAATCGTCGAAAATAATCTAGATTTTGAATTACAATACGTGGGTCACAAATCAATGCTCGGACACCGTACAGTACAGATACGACAGACGGTTACTCCAATTCTGTTGATACAGTAACATCAGTTGGTAACTACATTAATATTATCTACAGGTAAAACTGTTATATATTTTGATTATTAATTACAGTTTAAAAACATTTTTTTTTTAATGAGAATTAGTTCAGATAAGTAAATGGCAATATACACATAAAATATGACGTTTAAGAATGCTTTTAAAAATATGTACTTGAAAAATACAAAGCAAGGTTTATAAATTTACTTAATATATTGTTATGGAAATAATTAGGTAGACCAAGTACTGTAAAATATTTCTATTAGATTAAAAAATAATACAATGCAAAAAATACACAAATTTGAATAAATTACAAAAATTCCAAGTTACATTTACGATAAAATTGTTCAAATTTGAATTCTAATGTTGCTCGTTCGAAAATAAAATGAATTTGCGTTGATTCTGATGCTTGTAAAAGTATTTGTTTGGCAACTTGTGGATAAAATTTAATATTGAAAGAATTATAGTACAAACAAACGTAGCATGATAATAGTTTTTTATGATAAATTCTTCAGAAAAGTATAAAAGTAGATAACGCTAAATATCGTACTTTTATATTTTTCTGCAGAAAACTAAATTTATTTAGTAGGTTTCCGCAACAAAAACAAAAAATATTTGCTTGCGTTTCTCTTTCACTCATGTAAAATTGTTAAGTAATTGAGCGTTGACTTCTCATAGAGAATCATGTTTACACTCGTGAAATAGTGACATGAATATATGATCGGAATCAGTGTGATATTTATGAATATTACATTGTAAAGTAGTAATTCATATGTATATTTTCATCATTGGCATTACATTCAACGATCGTTATTTTCACTTCATTCGACTTTACAAAAATTTATTTATATTATACGAAAGTAAGAAAATATGAAACAACGCTACAGAATCATATAGTAATGAAGGTAAACAATCAATTTTTTTTTAATTGCGCGACAAGGGTGTTGAATGTTAGAAAAAATGTTGATAAAATTTCGTGGAAAATAGCAAGGTAGTAGGTAAATTTTATGACGTTAAGCTTACGATAACTGTTAATATTAAGGTAGCATTCATACAGACGATTTTTTATATTATGAATAGTTGTAAATTACTTTTCTTAACTGGTGTAGCAATTTAAAGTGAGTTGCATATGACCTTCCATATTTCTGTTTTCCAGTTAAGGGGATATCATTGCTTTAGTATCAGCCCAAAGATTTCACAGAATCGGGTATGAGCTTACAACTTTTCATATCAATAGGATGAGTTTCAGGCTGTTATCCATGTTTTGTGGCACCGTTTTTCGTTAGCTTTATGCATAACTTCGGTCAGTTTTCACAGTGCTTATGGCTCTCCTATAAATAGCAAATTTTGAAAATCATTTGATATTCATTCGTATTATTTATTAACGTAATTATTTGATAAACTTTCAACATGCTCATTATTTTTTGTTATTAAAAAAAATATATGCAAAGAATTTACTCACGACCGTTTATTGAATTTACTTTAATAAATAAATTTACGAAATTCATTTCATATAAAACGAATATATAAAAAAATAATTCATGTTCATGTAAAAGAATGTATATAACATAGATGATTGCGATTGAAATTACTTAATTATTATTTGAGAGCATGTTAATAACAAATATTTCTATTGTGGATTGACAATTCTACTTACCAGAATTAAATAACCACGTAAATATTTTTTCATACCCTACATACACTCTTCTTGGCTTTTTCTAACACATCTTGCCACTTTTCTTTTGAATTCTGTATAACTTTCCCTCCATTCTTTCTGTAATTAAAATCAAATGGCTTAAAGCTTTTGAAATATGATTGAGATGTAATTCTAGCCATAACAATACAATAACTTACGGCAGCATCGACATTTGCTGGACTTTCATCATTGGGATCTGCAAGCATACTAATTACACTGATAAGAATCGTCTCAACAGTGTGAACTGGCAGCCATCTTTCTGAAGCTTTCTCGTAACCCCACTTGTCATCACCAGGCTCGTGTAAAATAGATATACAAACATCACCATTTTTTTCAACTGAAATACACAAAATAAAAACAGTAATAAATATCTATTTGTTATAGATATAACTCTTATATAACTTATTATATACTGACTGTTTGGATGCCAAATTTCTGTTATGAATTTCATTCTTGGTGGCCTTAGTGGATATTCCTTGGGAAATTGCAGATGTGCTTTGAAAAAGCCACCCTCACTGAAAAAATGTATTATTCTAAATAATGGCAAACTATTTGATTGGTAATAACTTCAATAGCATTAAAATCACTTACTACAATGTATCCGGAGGTCCAATAATAAGCACCTCCCATCTATAAATATCATTGTCGTCAATGAGACCAGCGGAAAACCCTTCAACTGGGTTTTTATTTAATTCTGAAAGATAGAAATATGTGGATTAATTTTTGATGAGTTGACATATAACGTAACATTAACCATCAGTAATACTAGATTAAATATAATCATGAATGATATTGACTAAAAATATAACAAGAATATAATCTGTTCAGTGTCTGCCAAATAAATATGAACTAAAATTGTTGTGTAAATGTGCCTCTGTTTGTACGTGTGCATACGTGCGAGCGTGCATGCATGCGTGCATATGTGCGTATGTGTACATACTTTGGAACCGATTGAATGATGAACTGTATTGCTACAGATTTCATTAGAGAAATTCAGTTAAGATGTAAGAAATTCAGTAAAGATGTGCAGAACATTTTACGAAGAAAGATGAGCGTAACGCGTAATGAAAAAAAATGTCATAAATTTTTTAAAGATGAACGACAGTCTCTACCGCCCCTGGTTAAACGATTCGCTCACTCGTTCGTCGACTCTTTTTTTCCCGTTAACGTTTAATTTAGAGGTTATGTTCATGTCGGCGTTGTGCTCCTAGTGTGCAGTGTGCACGTCTCGTGCGAATCCCGGGCGCAAGCCGGCTCTCAGCGACGACTCTGTTTCGCTATCTCCTCACTTTTGTCTTGTTCCATGAGACAAAAATTGTAGAGTCAAGCCGAGTCAGGGCCGAAAGTCGATGAACTCTCGTCCCTGACTAACAGGAGAACATGCAAGACGGAGGTTGGACGCAAGAGGTTGACCTTCGTGCGTTAATAGAGAAGCAACAATATAAAGCAGCGGGATAATAACAAAATAATCACAAACAACGGAGAAAGCAATGCACATGTAACTTCAAAAACGATAGATTCGCGCCGAATTTAACTATAAATAAATACGCATTTATGGCTATGCATTGCATAAAAGAGACGAAGCTAACTAATATTTTCGATTTTTCTGGGGAGACATGTTTGAATTGTTCGTTGGCTATGACTCGAATAATATTCACTCGTTGAATCATCCGCCGAGATGAGCAGATTGGGAACCATGTATAAAAAAAGAAATAACTTTATTTGTAAGCAGCGAGAATGAGGAGAGTGGTGGAGAAAGACAGCGAGCGAGCTAAACATACAAGGCACCAGCACGAGCGTGAAAGCGCTGTCCGGACATTTTTTCGTAAATGCAGAGCAAAGTTTACAAAGGCCCATAAGAGAAAAGAATGCGTTGAAAATTATGAAAGTTAGAGGTTACAAAAGCAAAATCGTCGGAAATTTATGGCCGATGAATGCTCCGTCGTGGCGACTCGTATTGATTTTCAAGGGGTAATCGGAGCACGAGCTCGTTTGGTAAGAACGTTAACCAGAACACATAAGTGCCCGAAGTGACCTGTAATGATAAAAAAAGAACGCCCGAGATCGAAAGCGTTGAAGGCACAATTACACAAAGCTACCTTGCGCGTGTTGACTCGGCATGAAAAGCGCTTGGCTATATGCTCGGAGATTATCGCAATTTTTGGCCTATGGAAATCAACGAAATACACGCACAAGACACTTTGATCAAATCACTGACTATACCTGCTAATTGTTTTCTGAGTAGAAGTGCGGACTGTGGTTCTGACATTAATAAAAGTTCCTTTAAATAAGACTATAGTTGAAAAACAATCACTTTTGGCTTGACTGGAAAGATGGCTAGGTAACGTCGCGCGGAAGCGTTCACTGCGCTTGCGCCACCTGCTTTTAAAACATATGTTCTTCCGTCGGCAGCACTGAGCAAACCCGCGACTATCTCTTTTTTTTATATTACACTTTATCCTTCTGACTTTTCTTTTTAACGTATTCCTCTCTCACGATTTGATCTTTAATTTATTCAATTTAATAGAGTAAAAATAAATAGATAACTTTGACTTTTAATCGTCACGCTACATGTATCTATTATTACAAACAGTAAAGCAGTGAAAATAGTTATTTATCATGAGATGGGAGCAAACGCCAGTGATGCCAACAACAGTTTTGCAGGCGCCAGGCTTGTCATACTTATACGTTCGCAGACATTTAAAAGAAAATGTAAATATGTTAATATATTTTACTGAACAAGCTGATTTAAAACAATTATTTTGAAAGGATTTAAATTGGATAGTAATAATTTGATTATATGGTTTTTTCATATTTTTGCTTTTTGATTATTATCCGCGACATCTGCTGAATTCCTATGAAAACTTGTAACATGGATATGTCGGTAAAATGATTCTCTATAATTATTGTCATACCGGCATACCCTCAGGGTTGAATCCCAGATAATACAGCGTGCCGGCACGGTCTGGCACGCGTGTGCTCGTCACGGCGTGCCATCATAATGCAGGTACAGTAGCAGCACGAAAAGCGCCGCACGCCGTGCCGTTAGAATGCTGTCATTTTGCGGTCACGCAAAAAAATAAAATTCGAATAGGCATTACGACGTGGGTTGATTATTTTTCCATATTTATGTATTTTTAATAAAATAAATAATTTATTTGACAATAAAAATATATTAAATATATATCTCTGTCTTTATTTCTATGTAATAATTTCTTTTATTGTATACAAAATACAAATTTGAATATCCATACATATACGTTCAATCGTCATCGATTAATAACGATTTGTTTGAAAATCGTTCTCTTAAAACGTTTAACGTTTTTTACCAGTAATTGTGATTGCTTTTAAAGTAATTAAAAATACTAATTGTGACTGCTATTAAACCGTTAAATTATTGTGAGAGTGTTCCTTGTGTAGTGGAGTCGCAGTGGAAATAAAAGTGAGTAAATATAAAAATTATTAACAATTTTCTTAAAAATTCTACCAGAGGATAAAATAATTATTTAAGTTGTGACAACTGTGATATATGAAATATTAGTATTTGTATCGAATAATTAAATAGTACAAAATAGTTTATAAAATAAGTAAGTAAAATAAGGTAAAAAATGAAATTGTTTTTCTATAGTTTAGATTTTTCATAATTAAGTGCATACTCAGGCTAATCAAAGTTTGATATAGTTTTGCTACAATCATGGTGAAAAAGTACATATGGTTTTGTAAACTTGTGCATTGCGAAGACTAGTACATTCAATACTGTTATTGTAAATAAAAGTAGAAATTTTATTTGTGATTACAAACAACGAATTACGAGATGTTAGTGTTTGTATCAAAAACAAAACACAATCCACGAGAATAAAGTGATTTACAATGTTGATAAAATTATCATAGCTTAATTATTATAGCAATCATATATTATGGTATTACTCTATAAGCAACACGATCTCATAAGTAATATTATTGTAAGTTACTTTTTTATCATGGATTGTAGTTTCGTTTTCATAATAGTAACAAAATCTGGTAATTCATTTTTATAATCACAACCAATATTACTACTGTTATTTGCAATGTCAGTATTGAATGTGTTAATATTTAAGGCACAAGTTTGTAAAACCATGTTTACTATTTATATATAGTTTTGCTGCTCGTTGCAATAATAAATCATCAATGGTATGTGCAACTGGTCCAAAGTATTCTGTAGCATCTGTTGAAATTCTATAATCACGATAAGAAAGTAAATATGGTTTTGCACACTGGTGCATTCAATACTAGCGCATTAAATACTGTTATTTACAATGACAATATTGTAAATAACAGTAGCAATTTTAGTTTTGACTATGACAACAAATCAGCAGATGTTGATGTAAGTCTCAAAAACAAACCATAATTCATGACAAAAAAGCGACTTACAATGCTGATGAAGTTATCTTAGTTTAATAGTTATAGCAATAAGCTATGGTGGTATCTTCTTTCACTTAACGCTTAGATACTGCCTTGTATTGAATCAACAATATGCTGCAAGCCACTGTGTACCTTTGGGTGTGACACTATTTTTGATATAAGTTTTTTATAATCATCTATATAAATTGTTGATTTATATAGATAATTCTTCTTGGTACTTTCGGCCTGCTCGCCTACTAATAGCACAACGAAGTTCCAGTTCTAGACTGCTTTGGTAATTTTCGTATTTGTATAATTTTGATAAACTGACCTTCTCAGCATCAGTTTTGGCGCATATTAAAATGCTGAAAAATTTGGAGGGTCTATAAAAGTGGCTGAGCCTCACGTGCAAAGGCGAGGTCGGGGCCTTTCACAATAAAAATGAAATTAGATATTTAGTATAAAATTTATTAGAAACCAAAATTGTATAAACAATATGTTCATATATTTTATGAATATTTATTTGTTATATTATGATACTATACTATCAGTTTGTTTGTTGGATTCATTTTTAGCCATTGTAATTTTATAATAATTTTAAATTAAAAAAAATCTTTTTTCATTATATTTTATTAGCACATATACTATTTTGTTGCGTGTAAAGAATTTTGCTGGCTGTATTATTTTTACTTTACAGATCCACTGGAAAAATTAAAATATTCCTGTTGAATCAACAACTATATCTACTGGTGTCAGTTCTGCTTAGTATCCGTATCTCTGACAGGTATTAATTTATAATTCATTTAATAAAAATTAATGTTATTCACTGAAAACGATTAATAATAATTGTTTTTTATTTAATAATAATTAATAATTTATAATAATTAATAATAATTGTTTTTTAGGAATCAAATTATAACCTTATATTTACCTATGGAAGAAGCAGTGGAAATGTAAAATCTATCACGGAATTGTTGCGGCGTACATATATATGGATGCAGGTATAATATATAAATACATTACAGATATAATTGTTTGTATTAATTACACATAGCTCATTAATTTATAACAATAATTTAGATAAATTTTAATTAAATGTATATTTTTAATTTTAATAAAAGAATTTATGTATACATAAAAAATTGTATTCTTAATTACATAATCAAAATAATAATCGCAATATTACACCTAATCTCAAAAATTCAACGCACAAATTTTCCCAAAATGCCATCATATAATGTTTGCATAATTGATGCTCGGCGTGCAGCAGGACAGGTAAGCATAATGTCGGCACAATTCGTGCATGCCGCGAAAAATTATATTATTCATCTACGCTGGTACAATGCTGGTATTATAGACGCCCGCCGTGACTTCCACGGTGTGCTCGCATAATGCTGCCCCGATGCGGATGTATGTACTTGGCCGTCAATGTGCCGTCATGAAAGTCACGCCGTGCTTGCATTCTGACGGTAATGTGCCATCACAATGTTATTTGGGTTAAGCTTCTCTCCGCTCTGATTCTCTTCCTCTTTTTTTTCTTACTAAAAAGGAGAATGACGAAACCTCTATTAATCGTGATTGGTTAGTTGGGCGAAGAGGTTATGGCATGTGATTGGTTTGCTGATATGATGTAATGTTTTGGCGCGAGATTTTAAAATTATTTATATAATTTGTATAATTTAACAAGCGTTCAACGTGCATATTGACTACTAGTTCTCTTAAAGAATATACTTATCTACTTTTGAAATAGATAAATTTTATAAGAAAAAATGAATCTAGAACAGTAAAGGCACTTAATTCTGGTTCTAACTGGATCAAATAAAAAAAGGTATAAGAATTCAATTTATGAGTAGATTCTTGTTTTTTATTAACATTACTAAGTATCCAGAAGTTTTCATCTTTGAAAACGAAAAATTATTAAACTTTCAAACGTCTATAACTTATTGTTATTATTGATAGTATTACTGTTATTATTATTAGTATTATTATTACTTCTTTTGTCACTGTTATATATTGTTATATAATAATCCTTAGTACCTAATTTAATTCTGTAGAAATTGTGGTGCTATATTGCTCATTATTAATAAAATAATAGAATCGATTAGTTTTTATTATAATATAATATAACATAATATAAAAGATAATAAAAGTAGTGTATGTAAACTGTGTGTAAACCCATCTTTATATTGAGAGGCTATGAACAATACTAACATAAATCGAATTGCGTATTACTAGATGATTTGAAGGAGATTTATCTTGATTCAACAGAAAAATTTAATAAAACTTTTTGCTGACGTCAATTTTACCATATTTCTATTCTATTAGATCGTAAGAATACTCGAGCCTACTTCTGCAAATTTTTGTAACATCCTTTGTTTGCTCGTAAAAGTTTTAAAATCGATCAAAACAACGTACATGATTTTCATTAGTTTTCAAGAATTTATTTAGAAACAAAAAATGACAGCGTCAATTTGATTTCAAAATATTATAATTCTGTGAATTCAAATACGTTGGAACTATATTTAGCTTTATTTTGTAATCTAAATGTTGACCGTTACGAAGTCTTGAAAACTATAATAATGCACGAAAATTAGAAACTAATGAAATTGCGAAGCTGGCACGTTTGAGTGAAATTAAGTGTTTTCAGAGCGAGGGTCAAAATGACAATCAGAATACAAAGACAATATAGGTGGGTTTTAGCGTAGTTTGATCGATGAATTTTAGATTTGAAATTATTGACGTAATATTTTTCGTTTTATATTATTTTCAAAAATAAATAAATAAAAAATAAAAATATCTTTTTTCGTGTCACATTAACACCAGTGTAGGCAACAAAAAAGCTTACAAAATAACATCTGATAGATCCAAATATTTTAAAGTTTTTAAAACGAGGTATAACATTAAAGTCGTAAAATTGAGAAAAAATATTTAAAAAAACTTTGTCGTATAAAAACATCTTTTGTAGAATCGCTCATATATTCACATCCGAAATTGAATTTAGCTGTTAATCACTTGCTACTAATTCCATTCTTATTTTGTTTACTCATTGACGATTTGATCTTTGTAATCTACATAGTCTAGGTGAAACATTCATTTCTCTTTAAATTCATTTGTCGAGGCTCAATTTATTTATCCCTTCGGGCTTTTCATTTCTATATACTACATAGTTACGATTAGCAAATACTCTGTTTTATTGCAAATTCTATGAGGTTAGAGATTACAGTATGGTTTCGTGGCGTACTAATAATAATAATATCAAAAACAACAACAACAACAACAACAATAATAATAATAATAATGATAATAATAATAATAATAATAATAATAATAGTAATATTATTGATACTTTTTAACAATTGGCGTTAACAATTGTTATTGCGTTAGAGTTTTCATCGGCGGTCGAGCTGCAAGTTGGCATTTAGTATGGTCATAACTGCGGGGCTGCAGCCTGATGGAAAAGTTTGTGTCTAAAGATTAACGATTAGCCGACGACGGCCGGCACGGCAGCAGCGAGAATTGAGCGCCGCGCGGACGCATAACGCCTCTGAGCCGATTAATCCTGGCGATCGTTTGGCGCGTATAATAATCCAGGCCGTAAATTTTGAGGATTATGTTATGCAAGCGACGAGGGTGTCGTTACTTTATTTTCAACACAAAACAAGTCGCGTGGCATCGTCCTCCAGCTACATGCGCACATTTGATTCACACCTGTCACTCTGTCAGACCTCCGATTCGCTGTAGATCTTTGCGTTTTTCTCGACTTCGGCAAAATTTCATCTCCACAGCCTGTCAGTTTATGCATACATTTATACTTTTTTCAGTACACGGAAAGCATGTGTAAAATAAAACTCTTATGTTTGATTTTTTTTAGCTTCTTTACATTGAAAACCATATGAATATAAGACAATTCAAACGAAAATTCAGAATGAAAAAGATCGTACAATTAAGATCGATTATCATAATAGGAAATAGACGTGAAACAAATTCTTGACTACAACATATTAAATAACAAATTTACAAATGCTTTGACGTCTTTTAAATCGAAGATTGCATTATTTACATATAATTAAGCTATTGGTTAAATTATAAACAAGTCCGTAACGGCAACAAGCTAATAATATATAAAGAAGTACACGAAGCTTTGATTTTGAAACGAAGCAAAATAAAATTTGGCAACTTAATATAAATATATAACTATGTGATGACGGAAGTTTAGACGTTAACGATTTAATTTTACCAATGCTTTTTATTAATACTTTAAGATATACATTGCTCGACAAAGGATTATACAGACGTGTATACAATATTGTATTTTACATCGGGACGTCGATTTTTGAATAAAGTGTATGTACAATACGAAAAGAGTTGCCTCTTCAGTTTTACTCCACGTACATTAGAATCTTTGCATATATAGGACATACATGCGACGTCGAGAAATAAACGTCATGCGTGAAACGAGTCGCAGGCTGATGTTCACCCGACATTGTTGCGTGGATATATTGTTCAGACCACTCGTCATGGCTCCAAGCGCATATACAAACACACACACACACACACACGCACACATATACACACACACACCGATGCGCGCATCAGAGTGTGACACGTGTGTATAAAATATCGATTATCGTCTTCAAGCGTGCGACCGAAGGCTTCTCGACAGTAGAATGTTCCTTTATCACTCTCGTTTATCCATCTGTTACATTTAGTTTGCATAACATTTTACGTTTTTAATACTTATCTACCAGATTCTCTCTTCGACTTCGATCCTTACACAAAACGTTGAGATTTGATTTTGTCCTTTTTCGTCACGACGAGTGTCGAGTTCACTTTTCAAATGATCAGTAACGTTTGCTTCCATATTTAGTGCGGGCTTTATTTTAAATGCACCCCTAGAAAAATAATGTAAAATCTCGAAATTATTCACTTTTGAACGACAAATATTTTCTTTTTTTTCTTTTGTTTTTATATTATAATTATATAATATTTTATTCACCAACGTAATAATTTTCCTATTTTGGAAACTGTTTTAAATCTGTTACACGGATATCGCGTTTTATACAAACAGTATAAAAGATTACAAAAAATCCAAACCTGCTGTAACAAGAAGTTTTATAAATTTAAGTAAAATCTGTATTATCTTTAACGTTTTATACAACTCTTTTTATTAGCTGCTTCGTTAATCTTACGTGGTAAATTTAGACGATAGGCTTACCAAGAGAAGTTAAAAAGTGTTTTTAAACTGTTGCGCTATTCATATGAATTTGGATTTTCTTACTGGTAAAAGAAGTTGACAAATGAAAAAGACTAAAAACAAGAAACATTCTCTATGTTTATTACAGTATCGCTGCAATTGATGAATCCAAAGTAATGGACAGCGAATGGCCGTTTCCCTTTTCTTGATTATTTACATGAATTTGTAGTTATTTAAGAGATTTACGGCAATCGTTTTATTTTGAAACACAGTATTGAATACCATCGATAAGCTGATAAGAATGAGACAGTTTTTATGTACATTATGATTCTTTCGAAAGTTTGTAAAATTGTTTACTTATGTTTCGTATATCTGACTAAGCATGATCGAATGAGGATGATTCAGAGAATTTCTTGTGATAATTTATGATGTAATATCACGAACGTATAACATTTAACGTAAAGGTACGCGTTGATTTGCTTGCTTATGCGCGTAAATGTATGATAAAATACGGCAAAAACATTGATTATGGACAAATGCAAAGGAACAAGGGAGGTTGGCGCTGGGAGCGGACTCGGCAGGCTCGGCAGGCTGTGCAGCCTCGACGCCGTACCGTTTATTTTTGCGTGGTGGCGTTGTGGGGCAAGGGGTGGCCGGCTGAGCAAACGAGGGCTCGGCGAGCTCGGAGAAGTGGAGAAAGAGAATGGGATAGTAAGTAGGTTCGCGTGCAGCGAGAAAAGCGAGTCCCAAGGTGTCGGACTTTGATTGGGATGTCGCTGGTAAAATTGGCAGGTAAAGTTTTCGAGGAGCAGGACCGAGTGCGTCGGTAGCTTGGACAGACGAGGCGGCCGGCTCCTCGCGTTTCCCAGGGGGCGCGCCGCCTACAGATCGGCGTTGTCCTCGTCGACGTCCTCGTCGAGCTCGGGCAGGGTGTAGACGTTGGGCGGGTGCACCGGGCGCAGGTGGTCCTCGAGCTTGAGGATGGGCTTGCAGTCGCGCGTCACGTCCACCTGGTTGTACGAGTCCTTGAGGATGTTGATCTCGTTGTCGTGGGCGAAGAGGCCGACGGGCGGCTCGCCCGCGACGCCGCAGAGGCCGTCCTCGGCGAGGCTGCGCTGGCAGAGCGCGCTGCCGGGGAAGCGTCACGAGGCCACGGCGAAGGGCTCGCGGCAGGCGGGCGCCGCCAGCTCGTCGAGGCTCGCGCTCGGCTTGAGCAGCTGGCCGTGTTGGTGGTGGTGGCGCTGCTGCGGGCCGCGGCCGAGGCCGAGCTCGGCCGCCTGCTGGGCCGCGCGCTGGCCGTCCGCCTGGTGGGCCAGCCGGTGCACGATCTCGTCGTGCAGGATGTTGAAGCACATGGCGGTGAGCGCCATGCCCGACATGATGTAGCACGAGCAGAACCAGACGGTGGCGTCGCGCGCCTCGTGGGCGCCGAGGCCCGGGTAGGAGCCCGGCACGATGTCGCCAAAGCCGATGGTGCTCAGGCTCATGAAGCAGAAGTAGCTCGCGTCTGCGGACGGCGAAAGCGGCGGTGAGCGGCGGTGGGCGGCGGTCGGCGGGAGCCGGCGGGAGCCGGCGCGAGCTCACCTGTCAAGTCCCAGCCCTCGAGCTTGTGCAGCGCGAAGGCGCCGGCCACGATGTAGCAGAGCATCGCGCCCAAGCAGATGCTGATCGGCGCCAAGATGGTGACGCTCGTCCGGTCGCCCGAGCCCAGACTCGACACCTCGTCCTTGGGGCTGCACTTGGCCTCGAGCGCGCCCGGGTAGGCGGAGGCGTTGGCCCGCACGTAGAACGGCTCCTGCAGCTGCATCTGCTGCTGCTGCTGCTGCTGCTGCTGGGCCAGCTCCTCCTGCTGGCGCCGCTTGCGCATCCGGCGCTCCTTCTCCTGCTCCGCAGCCAAGGCCGGTCAGGGCGAGGCGTGCTCGGCGCGGCGCCGGCGGAGTGCAACACGTACGCTCACCTGCATCCGGCGCTCGTCGTAGCAGCAGTAGCCGCAATTGGAGCAGAGGCAGCAGCAGAGCGCCCGCGTGAACACGCCGCGGGCGCACCTCGACAGCAGCCCGCCCGCGCTCGACAGGTAGACCAGCGTCAGCGGGATGCCCACGAAGGCGTAGCCCATCGTCACCAGCTTGCCCAGCGCCGAGCGCGGCGCTATGCTCCCGTAACCTGCAACCAGAAGCGGCGCCCCGTTGGTGCTTGCCTCCGGGTGGCGGCGATAACTCACGGCGGCACTGCGGCTCCGTTGCGAGGGCGCGCCTCCGGCGTTCGCATTGACGAACGCGTCGCTGGCTCGTCGAGCGGCGGGCACGCGCGCGGACACCCGGTCGCTTGCCCGCCGAGTCGAGCGCGGCCGCGGGCTGGAGGGAGAGGGGGCGCCGTCGCGAAAAGCGCCGCGCGACGGCCGGCGTCGCGGAAAAAACGAATGGCAGGTAAGAGGGGAAGACAAGCGCGGCGAGCGGCCAGACGAAAAAAGCCGGCACGCCGAGAACGCGGGCAACGAATGGTTCGCGCGTCCTGGATTATTTATCTCGTCGAAACCGCAATCCGCGCGCTCGCGCTGCCGGTCGGCCCAGCGAGCCAGAAAATACTGCTCGGGCCAAACGACGCGACGCCGCGGCCGGGCAGCTTGCCGTTTTTCACCGCTGGCGCGCGGAAACCGGCACCGTCAACCGACGCGTAGCTGAACCTAGTGGAGCCAGTCCGGGGACCTGAGCACCGCGCCATCAACAGGTACCTACGTGGATGGAGCCAACGACGGACGAACCACAACGGTTCTCGACGTCGAAGGACACGAGTACCGTGAATGAAGAATTGACGGAAATGCCGCCGGACGGCGGATTAACGAACGTTCGCTCGCAAAGCAACGGGACGAGTGGGCGAAAGTCGCTCGATCGCCGTCCATTCGACGCAGCCGCCTTCGCCGGCGCTCGGGCGTCCTCGAGTCTGCCGGCTGGGCGGGATTTTCATTTGCGCGCGAGGGAAGAAAGACGAGAGAGCCGAGGACGATTAGTGCGGGCGCGCGAGCGCCGCGATGTGTATATTCGGTGCTCGCTCGACGGCGACGAGGCGGAGGAGGAGGACGACGCCGCCGCCGTCGCCGCTCGTCGGCTGCAGCATTTAATTAAGCCCTCAAATAATTTGCATGGAGGCAGGCTCGGAGCGCGGAATCTCGCAATAACATCTCGAAGATGAGCCGCGTGCGTCTCTTTCGAGTGCAGCGGCTGGAGCGCGGCTATAAATCACGGTGCGCATAATGCGGCAGCCTGGGCCGCCTTATTTGCTCGCGGATATTGCGCTCGCCAGTGCGCCGACAAATGCTTTTTCCGCGAGCGCGCCGCGCCTCAGCCAACCGCGCCTGGGCGCCTATCGATGCACGCGCACACCCAAGTCGCGCACTCGCGCTCGGCCGGATCGAGGTGAGGAGACGCAGAGAGCTCGAGCAGCTCTGGCGCCCGCTAGGCGTGCGTGGTATAATTAAGCCGATATTAAGATCCGAGACAGCCACCATATTGTCTCGGCAGCTTCATAGTCAACTCGGCAAACTCGACTTGATGCTACCGCGTAGCGTGTGGCGATGCACGTACTCTCTCTCTCTCTCTCTCTCTCTCTCACTCTCGAGTGCCATCAAACGCCACTACTCGAGAAAGCGCCTAGCACTCGATCTACAAAAGCACGTACGCGCTGGCGCGGCACCTAGCTCTTTGTTTGTTTATGCAGAACCGACGCGGTCGAAAGCCGGCGTGGCGCGTTCGCTCAAAGCCTGTCCCGGTAGCTCTCTGGCAAAGAGTCGACTGACAGTCCTCATTCGATTCCACTTGTTTCGCTTTCTTCGAACCTGCGACCACCATTTTTCCGAGCCGCGCGTGATGCCGTGTCCCGTACGTGCCTCGCCTTGCATCTCCGGGCGTCCCCTGCCGCCGACTTCTCGCTTCGCGGGCAAACGGCCGTGTCAGCAGACGACAGCGAGCATTGCTCGGCTCTTCGGCCAAGCGTCGAAGGCTCGCGTCGCTGGCGTCACGGCAGTCGCAGTCCGGAGCGAGGCCCACGCCACGGACAATGCGGACGAGACGCTCGGCCCGAGCGCTCCACTGCGGACGCTTCACTCGTCGGCCTGGCACACTCGCGCACTGAGAAGAAGCCGGAGAGCAGTTGAGCGGGCGCCAGCAAGGAGTTGATTATAAGTTTATGGGACAAGCTAACAGAGCGCAACGCGCGCCAGCCGAGCTTAACGAGGTACAACGGCTAAAGAGCGAGCAATTACAGGCGTTCATTTTCCTAATTAACTTTTCCGGATTTTCGTTCGCGTTACTTTTTTTCTCTCTCCCTCTCTCCCTTTCCCTCTCCAACATTCTGCCCGGAATAATAAAGACTCGCAGCGAGATTGCGCGGGCCGCGCTAATGGACTCGCCGACTCAGCGTAATCTTTTCGACAACCAGCTAACCGGCGCGTAACGAGAGCGCACGCAAACAGGCGGCGATCGGGGGCGCCCCAGGGGCGCCGCGGTCTCGCTCGGCCGTCCGCCGTTCCGCGTCCGCGGGCGCTCTCCTCTCGAGCCGCTGAACCGCGCGGCCCGGCAAACTTGGCCGGCGCCCGGTCTTGGCTGCAGCCGCTCCCGACGAGACCCTGCCAGCGGATCGGCGAGCGAAACGAGGCCGAGGCACTGCATTGGCCGGGCGGCGGTCGCGCCGATCTCTTGCTGCTCCCCTCGCTTCCTCGGGGTTGCGCCCGAGACGGCCGACCGAGAGCTCGGCTGCCGGCCAGAATTGACGCGAGAGCGCGCGCCCGTTGCTCCACCGCTAAATTCAATTCGCGCGAGCTGCTCGTTGCCGGAACGGCGGTTCGAAGGCCCCGAGCGCGATGCTAAAAAACGAGCGCGCTTTTTCTTAATTCCCAGCAGTTCTCTCGCCGCTCGCTCGTCCCGGCCCCGGATCTAGCTCGTTTATCTGGCGGAAGTCATCAGCGCGAGAGCCGAAGAGATATCGATGTCTTATCGCGCGATACGTTGCTCGACTTGGCTAATTCGAGGCAAAGCTCCGGCTGTACGCCGAGCGAAAATGGTGCGCCGGGGTGCTCGGCCTATCTCGGTGCAATCTGAAATGTCGGAACGCGAGTACGGCTGCTCGCGTCGGGCAGAAAAGATCGCACAGGCCAATCGTAGTCGAGCTGACGGGCGAGTGAGCGCGCAGTCGAGCGACGCTCCGCACGCACGCACGAGCGAGGAGCGAACGGCAGGAGGAGCAAGAGGGGGGGGGGGGGCGATCCACGTATATCTGTAGATGATCCATCGATTGCCCATCGCGTATTGGACCGTGCACAGACTGCGACGATGCTCGCTCGTGCGCGCCCGAATCGGCCGCGAGCCCCGCGCGCTCGCGCGAGGGAAAAACGGAGCCAGCGACGGCCACCCGGTTAATGCAATTTCGCGAGCGATATGTCGCGCGCGGCCAGCAGCGACTCGGCGCCGGTTGTTCCTTGGGGTCCGTGCAGCTGAGCAACCCGTGCACCGAGTCCATCGAGCGGCAGTGATACGCCCAACAAGGGATAAGCTCGGCCTTTTATCCGGCCGCGCGTCCCCCGCCCGCGGAGAAGCCAAACGAGCGGAAGAGCCGAGCGACGCGCCCGACGACGCTTCTCCGGGCTGCGCGTCCGGTCGTTCGGCCGCCCAGTCCGGCGCGCGACACTGATCACCGCGGCCGCGCGGCCAACGTTGACGCGACGTCAGCGTCGCGAGCGTGCGGCGCAGCGGCTCGGCTGGAAGCGCAGACGCAATTAAGCGAAGTAATGATCGGAACAAAGAGTTGCGAGGCTGTTTACGGGGTCGTTTATCAGAGCTCGGCCGTAACTGGCTCGCAGCCGGGAGCCGCTGCGAGAGCGCCAAATGGTCTCCGGAGTAAGGCGGCGCTATATATAAGTTGATCTTGAGGAGCGCGCCAAAGATTAGTTAACGAGCTCGTTTGTTTTCCGCGTCATCGGCGAACAAGCGAGCCGCTCTGGCGCGCGCGGCGCGAGTTTAATAGCGACGCCCGATTAAGCAGCCAGCCTATCCGAGGATTCATAAAGAGCGAGGCCGCGCGGATAAATTCACAGGCTCCGGGCAAGCTCTATCTGCGTGCACCCGCGAGATAAGAAGCCCCGGCCGCGCTCCGACAAACGGGGACTCGTTCGTCAGGCCGAAGCACCGTTGATAGCCGACTCCCGAGCGCGATTACCCGTCGCGAGCGGCCGTCGGCGCGAGATGCGACGTCCGCCGAAGCATGCACGCGGAACGCGAGGGCGAGTCCGAGAGGGCTCGCCGTCCGTGGAATGCCGGCCAATTCGAGGGCTGTCCATTTTTCACGGAGCGCGCGCGCCCAGTCACCGCCGACATCGCCTCTCCGTCGTTGGCAAGGTCGAGGCGTGGCGCGTCAGGCGGGCAAGCTCGCGCGTTCGAAGAGCCTGCTCGCGGCCGGCCCTCGTTGTCGGTGCCGCGGTCTGTCGCGTGCGCCTGGTTCGTTGTAACGTTCGACCGTGGAGTCTGGCCGCGTCGCAACGAAAGCCGCGCGCGGAATTCATTAGCCGGAACAAGTTGGCGCGAGTCCGCGAGGCCGTGCAGCTGCTACGCCGGTAATGGAGTCGAATGGACGGCGACCGGAGCTGCGGGCGCTTTCGATCGCGCGCGCGTGCGACTCGGCCAGCAAGGCGTTCGATCGAGCGCTCGTTAGTCGCGGGCGAACCGCGAGGACGAGGACGCGGCCGGAGACGAAGGCCGCCCGGCGCAAGGAGATTGAATCGCTGAGCAGGAAATGATAGCTCGCGGCGCGCGCGTAGACGGGGCGTCGCTCTCAAAAGTGCCCCGGGCGCGCACGGGGCTCGGTGCCGCGCAATTTTACGACGCGAAAGGCGGCAGCGGCGCGAGTTTCGCCGCGTAAAGAGGCGAAGGCCATATCCGGGCATCGACATCGTAAAATAAGATCGGCGTGTAAAGCCGAGCCCATTTCGTTTCACTTGGCCTGATCCTGCACCGGCGCGCTGGCAGTGCAGCCCGCCAGATAAAGCGCTGCCCGGGCGGCCGCGGCCGGCGTGATCGATGCGCGCGAGTCCCAGGCGAAGGCGCGGCTTATCTGGCCAGCGCTGAAATGAGCAGAGGCCAAACGAACGCTAACTTATTGCCACTTGTTAAGGCCGG